GTTTTTGAAGACGATGAAGTAGACTGTACTGTGATGCAAAAAGCAAAAAATGTGATGGTAAAACTTCTCAACCGAGCTGATGGTTCTCGGAATCCAAAACCGTCTTCCCCTAAGTCGTTCTCTCCTGCCCGTTTGCTCACTAAGACTTTGCCTTTGAGATTCTCCCGATTTCGTACTAACAGCCTCACTTCCAGTAACTCTGATTAATCCCCTCTTACCCAAAAAAAGCATATACATATCTGTGTTTCTCCTTCTTCGTATCTGTCCTAGTAGTCTTTCTGTTTGCTTGGATTTCCAGTCTTCCTTTTTGCGAATTTCATTCTTGTTTTGGCTATTTTTTCTTTACCTCTTTATTCCCTATATTCGTTTTCATCTCTTTTTACTTCTCTTTCCTATCTTTTCACTTCTTTCTCTCTTTTTCTTTTCTCCTTGGCGAAACCTGAGGAGAGGCGGATAAAGGCATCAGGCTGAGAGGACATTTTCCCCCTCCAACCGCGGTCACTGGGCACCGGTGAACTTGGTTTTAAAAGATGTATCAGTCGGTGGCAAAGATTTTTGCCGAGCGGAATCTCCGCGACTGCCTGATCCTGTGCCAGGTCTCCGGCTCCCCTTAACCGACTGAGCCTGCTTGGTCCAGGGGGAGAATACACACAGTAAACTAACTTCCCCCTTCCTCTTCTCCTCCCTCAAGTCGTAGGAGTTGCCTGAGAGGGTGGTAGGATCCTTTTGCTGAGAACCGGAAGAGCTGCGGATCAGGCAGGGTGATAACTATATCCCGCTTATCCTGCCCTCCAAATATATTCATAACCCTTTTCAGGGGCGGGATCTACAATGTCCGGCGGGAGGGCCAACATCTCTTACCGGACCTTGCACTCTTGAATCACCGAGCGGCAAATCGTTGTACTTGGATTCCAATGGCTATCAGCTCACTATTCCCCTCTGCTTCTGTGGTTGATCCTTGGATGATTGAAAGCTACCGGCATAAAGTCCCCCTTTGGCCTAGCCCCAGTCCGGCGGGGTTCATCCCGATGCCGGCTGGTACGGGACGGCGTCGGAACCAACCTTGCCGCCCAGCTGGAATTGTAACGGCCCCTTTCCTGACAGCCACCGCGTTTCAGTCCGCTAGTCAGCCGCGGACTGCGAAGCCGTCTAGGAGGGGGAACGATCTCACTGGCCGTCCGGCTAATGTTCCGTGCATATCCTTAAGTTGACTGGTCTTCCGCCCGTAACAGCTACGATGCGGGGGAGATTTCAAGGACAGCTGGGGGGAGAGAGCGAGCTGTCCAGCCGCCCAGCTCAGATTGTAATGGACCGTCTGTGCCCATCCTGAAACCGGACTGGGCCTCGGCCAGGTGGAGCCGACAAATTGTAAAATGGACTTGTCGACCGTGCGGGTCACCTGGATTCTCGGAAGGCATTCCTATAAGAATAGGGCCCCGCTACCGACATTCTCACATCTCATCCCCTCCACTCCGCTTGACCTGACTGCATCTTCTAGCACTTTGCTCCTGACCGAACGATTTGGCCCTTCCAAAAAAAAAATCATCCGCACAAAAAGAAACCACCCCACCCGTCACTAACCACCTCCCCCGATAACTCCTCCCTTGTTGTTCTCTCATCCC